GGGTCACACAGCTAGTAGGTATCAAGTGTCTGAGGCCAGATTTGAACTCAGGTTCTCCTGACTCCGAGGCTGGAGCACTATCTACTGCATCATCTAGCTGCTCATGAATATTATTTTATTGCATTTTAATCTGTAAAATATGTTTAATGTTAATGCTTTTTTGCATTTTTTGTGAGGTTTTGATGACCTAACCCGGTCAATTTTTGTAAAGTTTCCGTTTATAACTGAGGAATATGTAATACTCTTTTCTATTTCAAATAATCTCTAAAGGTCTTTCATGTCTAATTTTTCTAAAATTCTGTTGAGATCCTTAGTTTTTTTTTTTCTGTTTATTTTTGGTTAGATTTAGCTAGGTCTGAAAGATATACGGTGAGATCACCACTATTAAAGTTTTTCTCTTTATTTCTCCCTGTAACTCATTAAATTTTCCTTTATTTATCTAGATGGGCACAATTTGGTGCATATATGTTTAGTATTTATATTAATTCATTGTCCATAGTACCCTTCAGCAAAATGTAGTTTTCTCTCTTTATCTCTTTACATTAAGTTTCTTTTTACTCTTGCCTTATCTAAGCTTGTGATTGCTACCCCTACCTTTTCCTTTTCATCTAAAGACTGATTTTGCCCCGACCCTTATTTTAATCCTGTGTGCATCTTTATGTTTTAAAGAGTTTCTTGTAAACAATGTATTATTAGAATATACTTTCTAATTTTAATATTCTCTTCTGTTTTATGAATGTTTATCCCATTCACATTCACACTAATGATAGTTACCAGTGTATTTCCCTCCATCCTATTCTTATAATATTTTTCTTTTTCCTTCACCTAGACCACACCCTAAGTTCTCATTTTTTCTTTCTTTCCTTTTAAACCCCTCTTCATAACCCACCATACCTAATTTTGTTTTTGCTTATGAATAATCTCTCCCTTAACCTATACCCCTCTTATTTCCTCTTCTTTTTTCTCCCTTTCCCCCTGTTCCACCAAACTCTGTGTATGTATTCTTTCCCTTTATTGTCATATTAGCCAATCTGATAGGTGTGAGGTGATATTTCAGAGTTGTTTTAATTTGTATTTCTTTAATCAAAAGTGATTTAGAGCACTTTTTCATATGCCTATAGATATCTTTGATTTCTTCATCTGAAAACTGCCTATTCACATCCTTTGACCATTTATCAATTGGGGAATGACTTGTATTCTCATAATTTTGACTCAGTTCTCTATATATTTGAGAAATGAAGCCTTCCACAGAGACACTTGCTGTAAAGATTGTTTCCCAGCTTTCTGCTTTCCTTCTAATTTTGTTTGCATTGGTTTTGTTTGTACAAAAGCTTTTCAATTTAATGTGATCAAAATTATTTATTCTACATTTCATAATGCTCTCTATCTCTTATTTGGTCATGATTCTTCCCCTTCCCATAGATCTGGCAGGGAGACTATTAATTCCTTAAATATCTATGGTACCTTTTAGCAAGATGTAGTTTACCTCTTATCTCTTTTAATTAGGTTTATTTTTTCTTTTACCTTGTCTAAGATCAGGATTGCTACCTCTGCTTTTTTTTTTTACTTCAGGTGAAGCATAATTGATTCTGCTCCAGGCCCTTACCTTTTCTCTGTGCTTCAAGTGTGTTTCTTTTCTTTTTCTTTCTTTCTTTTTTTTTTGCAGCCAAAAACGAGGTTTATTGAAGATTCGCCATATTAGCTAGACTCTTAAGGAATCTGAGCATCTATGGGCTATTGGCTAGATTCTAAGAATCAGAGCATCTTAATAGAGACAAGATGGACCTTATATACAGAAAGACTGTGGGAGGGATCTAGGAGTGGCCAAGTAGTTTGGGGTGATGAGAGGAAAGCCATAAGGAGATCTGGATGGGAGTGGCTAGTAAGCTAGGGTGAACAGAACTCCTGGGACCTGGCCAAGGGAGAATGGAGCCTAGCTAGGATTAAGGGTGGGAAATGGCCAGGGGCCATAGGGAGGTAAAACAATGGAGGGGAGATTGGGTGTAGCCACAATGAAAGGCCAGTTGATGGGATTATAGCCTCAGGGGACCGCCAGAGATCTGGCCATGTGGGAAAGTCCAGGGTTTTTCCTTTCTGGGGCCCAGATTCCAACCCCATCATTCCCCCCTCAAACAAATGGGACCCAAATTCTTTTGGAGTAAGGGGTGAAGGTCTTGGCTTCTGAAACTGATTCCTGCTGGCAAGGGGCATAGAGCTGTCCCTGCCTCGAGGGGGTCCCAAAGGGGAGGTTGACTGGAACCAAGCACAGGCTGCATCCAGGGAACCATGTGGGGACATTGGCTGTTTGCTACCAACTGTAGGTGAATAGCCTGTAGTCTTCCAATCCCAGCTGGTGAAGAGCTTGGTATAGGCAGTTTTTCCCGGTGCAGGGAACCATATGATGCGGTCTAGAGGTTAGATTGGAATCCTAAAATCACAACACCCGGGTTCTGCCCGAAAGAATTCGACCCAAGCCTTCTTGCAGCCAAAAACAAGGTTTATTGAAGATTCGCCATATTAGCTAGACTCTTAAGGAATCTGAGCATCTATGGGCTATTGGCTAGATTCTAAGAATCAAAGCCTTCAAGTGTGTTTCTTGTAAGGAACATATTGTAGGATTCTGGTTTTTTATCCACTCTGCTATCTGTTTCCATTTTTATGAGGGAGTTTATCTCACTCACATTCTCAGTTATGATTACTACCTGTGTATTTCCCTCCATCCTATTCTTCCTACTGTTTATCTTCTCTCTTCTTTCACCCTTTCCCACCTCTCTGGAGTTTTGCTTTTGTCTACTGCTGCCCCTGATTTGCCCTCCCTTACATCAGTCCCCACCTTCTTCTCTGTACTTAATCTCCTCTCCTCCTATTTCCCTGCCAGGTAAGATAGATTTTTATATTCAACTGATTATGTATATTATTCCCTCTTTGAGCCAATACTGGAGAGAATAATTTCAAGCAATGTGCATCACCTACCCTCCCATCTTCCCCTCCATTGTAATAGATCTTTCTTGCCTCTTCATGTGAGATAACTTACCCCATTATACCTCTCCCTTCTTTCTGCACCTGTTGTAGTCCTCTTTCTCATCCCTTAATTTTTTTATGTCATTGCTTCAGAATCACTTTATACTCATACCTCTATCTATATTCCTTCTATCTGTATTGTTAGTGATACAATTTTTAAGAGTTACAAGTATCATCTTCCCATGTAGGGATGTAAACAGTTTAGTTCTGTAGAATCTCTTAAGTTTTCTTTTCCCTTTTTACCTGTTCATACTTCTCTTGGGTCTTGATATTGGAGGTCAAATTTTTGGTTTAGTTCTGTTCATCTCCTTATGAAGATTTGGAGTCCTTTTATTTCATTGAATGACCATTTTTTCCCCTTGATGTATTATGTTTAATTTTTCCAGGTGGGTGGTTCTTATTTGTAGTCCTAGTTTCTTTGCCCTCCAGAATATCATGTTCCATGACCTCCAATCCTTTAATGTTACAGCTGCCAGGTCCTGTGTGAACCTGATTGTGACTCTCTGATATTTGAATTGTTTCTTTCTAGCCACTTGTAGTATTTTCACCTTGATCTGATAGTTCTGAAATTTGGCTATAACATTCCTTGGAGATTTTATTTTGGGATCTCTTTCCTTAGGTGATTGGTGGATTCTTTCAATGCCTATTTTGTCCTCTGGTTCCAGGACATCAGGGCAGTTTTCCTTGATAATTTCTTGAAAGATGCTGTCCAGGTCCTCCTTTTGAATATGGCTTTCAGGAAGTCCAGTGATTCTGATATTGTCTCTCCTGGATCTATTTTCCAGGTCAATTGTTTTTCCCATGAGGTATTTTACATTTTCTTCCATCTTTTCATTCTTTTGGATTTGTTTGATTGATCCATGTCTCATAGAGTCATTAGCTTCCACTTGACCAAGTCTAACTTTTAAGGCATTGTTTTCCTCAATTAGCTTTTGTACTTTCTTTTCCATTTAACTAATTATATTCTTCAAGGAGTTGTTTTCTTCAGTGATTTTTGCACCTCCTTTTCCATTTGACCAATTCTACTTTTTTAAGCAGTTTTCCAAGTTGTTGAGCCTTTTCCCACAATTCTCTTGCATCACTATCATTTCTTTTCCCAATTTTTCTTCTATCTTTCTTATATGATTTTAAGCTCCTTTTTGAGCTCTTCCATGAAATCTTTCTGGGCTTGAGACAACTTCCCATTTTTCTTTGGGGTTTTGTCCATAGGTGTTTTGACATTGCTGTCCTCTTCTGAGTTTGTGTTTTGGTCTTCCCTGTCACCATAATAACTTTCTATGGTCAGATTCTTTTTTGTTATTTTCTGCTCATTCTTTTTTTTTTCTTTTTCCTTTCTTTTAAATTAGATCTCTGCTCACAGGGTAGAAGGAGCACTGTCTTCAGCTTCTTATGCTTGTGGCCCTGGCTGTTTATCTGATGCTGCTCTGATGTTACCCTGAGGACCACAGGGGGATCCTTGTGTCTGGTGCTGTACTGAAGTGGTGGGTGGGGCTTAGCTGGTGCTGTTAGAGGCCATAGGGATCTGGCAACTTACTTGGCACTGAGCTAGGGTCCTAGTGGTGGTGTTTGGCATGTGCTAAGGCCTGGTGAGGTGTTTCTGCATTTCCTTGTGGCTACACTGCAGCACATGGCAGTCTTTAGAGGCTCCCTGTTTACCCAGGACTATGCAGTGATGTGTGGTGCTGGCTGGTAACTTCCTGTTTGCTTAGGCACCCATAGGATAGGCATTTCTACCTATTTGCCCAGGGTTACACTGAAGCATGTGATAATTCTTGGAGCTGGAGTCTGCTGGTTCCCCTGGCTATGCTAAGCCACGTGGGGGCTCCTGGTGTTGGTGTTTGCCTGCTCTACCACACTGGGGCTCAGAATCTCCTATTGATTTGCTGAGGTGGGGCTTGCCGCTGTCTTGCTGGGATGCTCCCCATCCTGAACTACACTCCCCTTTCACCCAAGTGAGATGGAACTTTCTTGCTCATCTTCCAACTTTCTTGGGTTAAAAGATTGCTTCATTCCACCTTTTTGTTGGTTCTGCTGTTCCTGGATTTGTTTTGGGACTCTATTTTATGGTTATTTGGAGGTGAGTATAGGAGAGCTGTAGCAGTTTACTGCTTAATCCGACATCTTGACTCCCTGAAGTCCACAAGTTTGGTTTTTTAAAGGTTGTTTTTCTAAACTTTTGTATTTGTTGATTTTTGTAATATTTAGAGACTGTTAAGTTGCTGTATTACTGAATAGTGCGCAAGTACACACGTGACTATGAGAAATATGGAATTTGCATCATTAAAATGTGGGTACCTAGTTGAAAAATATTCACATTTCTTTTTTCCATCGATGACTACTTGCCTTATTTTGAGATTCTTATGTACTACAAGGCCAGAGGTTAAGATTTGCTTATGTATCTAGAAACCCCAAGTAATCAACACTTAATGCTTAATTATTTTTTTTTTTGGAAACTTTGCCCTTTTAAGGGGCTTAATTGATCTTGTTTGCTACTTTCTAACTAACTAAGCCTATCTGTCTTGTTATTGGGTGAGTTTAGACTTTCAGTTGGATTTCCCTACTGCAAGAATTCATTAGAAGAAATTTGGGGTGCCCTTTAGAAGGAAGACCCAAAAGAAATTTTCCTGAACATCTAAGGAAATTGTCTATGGCACAGGGATGCCTAAAAATTTTGGTTCACTCTTCATTGAAAGGGGCAATTAGAAAATTTTGTCCAGACTGCAGCTGGATGGAAACAGAGTCCAAACATCATTTCTGCCAAAATGAATTCGAATTTTCCCAGAAGTTCTTATTAGAGTTCTTCCCTGAGTAATATATATCTTCATATTTATCAAACACTGAGTTATTAAGTTCAATTATTTCTGATTCTTCCTTATCTAACTGGTTTCATTAAACTACTTTTTTATTTTTTAAGTAGTAACAAATACTTTTGATTATTAGATCTGTAAGTGCCATTCCTCACTTCATTCTATTTTTTTTCATTATTTCCCTTAATGTTCTAGACCTTTTGTTCCTCCAAACAATTTTCACTATCATTTTGTCTAGCTCTGCTGGTATAGCAGGAAATCTGTGGATTGATTGAGACAATTAAGATTTTTCTTTATTATATTGACACTACCCAACCATGAGCATCAAGTAGCTATCTAGTTATTTAAATTGTTCTTTATTTATTTAAAGGTAGTTTTGTAATTATGTATGAAAAATTTGAAAATTGAAGGAGTCCTAGGTCAGAATTTTGGGATATATCCACACTTAAATTTGTGATGTGGAGAACAGGCCAAGTGCACTGCTCCCTTCTATCTTCTGGCTCAGAATCCTGTAGCACAGTGAATTTTTAACTCAATCTGATTCCTTTGTTTCCTCTCCTTTTCTTCATGTGGTCGGGCAGAATCAGTGTCAATTCTTGCAAGGTTTGGTGTATTCATCCCCATAGTGGATCCTTGTGCAGGGCCCAGTCACAATGAAAGAAGGAAAGTAGAAAGAAAAAAAAAAGAAGGAAGGAAGGAAAGAAAGAAAAAGAAAAGAAAAAGGATATTTATTAATCATGTGCAATGTGTAATGCAATAAGAGTATGTCAGAGCAATTCCTGCTCTCAAGGAATCTACATTCTAATAGAAAGAAACAATACATATAGAAAGTTTCACCTGCAAAATAGGGGTCAAATTCTTCTGTCACTTAATACCTATGTGAACCTGAGAAAGTCACTTAACTTCTTTGTGCTCAGGAAACTGCTTAGAACTTATTTTCTAAGTTAGGGAATCAACCTAGTACACTAAAAATTGTGATGAACTTGGAATTCCAAGAACCATCAGTTCAAATTCTAGCTCTACTATTTACTTTATGTGTGACTGTGGGCAAGTCACTTAAGCTTTTTGGGTCTCAAGTTCCTCATGTGTAAAATGAAGGGTTTGGGGTTGGACTAGATCCATGATCCTAAATCATGGTTCTAGATCTATGATCCTAAATCATAGGATCATAACCTAATCTGGACATGACATGATAATGAATGGGAGCTGTGCTGGTGGAGTTGCCATTGCATGACTTCTTTACACTGAAAAAAGAAGTCCAAGAGCCTTTGTGTTCAAATTATAATTATTCTGTCACTCTCTTGTTTCACTGGAGTGTTTAATGCATTTGCATTTTAAACTTATAATTGTTGGTGGGTTTTACTTCTTTTGTACTGATTTTTATTTAAAATTTCTCCTCTTTTAAATAATACCTAATATTGACATAGCACTTCAAGGTTTGCAACATGATTTAAATATATTATACCATCCTTCTCAACAACCCCATGAAGTAAGTGTCTTTATTTCCTCTATTATACTGATGAAGAAATTAAGGCTAGAAGATGTTGTGACTTTGCCAAGGTCACAGCTACCAAGTATTTGAGCAGAATTCAAATTCAGATCTTCAGAACTTCAAATCTAGCCTCTATCCACTCTGCTATCTAGAAGCCTCTGTCATCTGTTAGCATAGATTACAGATTTCCCCTGCTCCTTCCATTTCTCCTAATTATCCTACCCTACTCCAAAATCCTTGAGTAGGGTTGGATTGATATATTTTTTCTTTCTTTTTTTCCCAGACCAGGTAAGAGTGTTGTTGACTTTCTTCAGCTTCCTTCCTATAATACTCTTTCCCTGCTTTCTTCTTACCACCCAAATAAGATTTAACACCAAACCTTGCCCAAAACAAACAAAAAAACCCAAATCCCAAAAACATAGGACTACATGGGGACAACAAAAGATGCCATTCCACAATATACATTTTTGTAGGAATGCAAGTTTTAATCCCAAAGGCATTGATTCAATTCTTTTTTCTCTCCTAACTTTTTCAATCTTCTTAGCTATCTCATTGTTATATTATTTTGCCTCTAGATGGTCTCTTTATTCTCTGCTTGACTCTCAACTAACATGGGTTTTTTTTTTTAGAACAATAACATTGTCTAGTCCTAGAAGCTTGAGTTCATTTATTTCATTTCTTTATGGCTTTCTAATAAGTATATACCTTTCCCCCTTCTTGTTGGAAATGATTACACACTGAATATCCTGCTTACCTCCATTTTTCACTGAAGAAATAACACAAATTTCTTCCTTCTGCCGAAGGTCTGTCTCTTTTCATTGATTGTTAGGTTCAGCTTTGCAGGATATATTTTGGGGGGGGTGCAAACCAAATTAATTTGCTTTTTGGGAATATAGATTCCAATTTCATCTTTGTTTTTAATAGATAGGGAGTAGTCTTGAGTATTTTGAAGTATTTTTCCTTGGTAGATGAAGGGCTTTCTTTTAACAACCTCCAGTAATTTTTGTTGACACTGAAATTCTGAATTTTGGATACAATGTTTCTTGACGAATTAATTAGGATTTCTTGGGGCAACAAGGTGGTGCAGTGGATAGAGCACCAGCCCTGGACTCAGGAGGACCTGAGTTCAAATCTGGCCTCAGACACATAATACTTACTAGCTGTGTGACCCTGGGTAAGTCACTTAACCCCATTGCCTAGCCAAAAAAAAAAAAAATTAGGATTTCTCTCCCCTGTCCTATGGATTCCTCTTTTTTTCTCTTCAATATTTCTGGGAAGTTTTCTTATTTCCTAAAGTGCCATACTTTTACCAGAGTTTTTAATCCATCATGTCTTTCCAGATTTCTATGACACTTACTATGTTATTGCATTCTATTTTCAGGACAGTCATTTTACATTTCATTAAATCTCTGTGTTCTTCCAGTGATGTTATTTGGTTCTATTCCATCAAGTTATTTTTAGCTTCTATAATTTTGAGTTCATTTTATTTTTCAGAATCCTTATTGTTTTGGAGAGTTTCTCTATCCCATCTCTGATGCTTATTACCTGTGTGACAGTAGGTGGGTCACTTATATTTTCTGGGCCTCAATTTCCTTATGTAAAATGGGTAAGTTGGACTAAATGACCTCTTTGGTGCCTTCAAGCTTTATATCTATGTTCCTATGTGCTAAATTGTCTGTTCTTCTTTGTTTTTTGGACTTTTTTCTTTGTGATCTCTGATTTCCACTCTAATTCCCATCTTTATGTCTTCATTTAATTATTTTATTTTTCTTCTGAAATATTTTGCAATCTCTTGCAAATGATTCATTATATTTTCTGGAGAGTCCATCAAATTTACTTCCTCACTTTATTTTTTCATTAGGGATCTTTGAGTCACTTAACTCTATTACATCATAAGATCATAGATTTATAGCTCAAAGGGACCTTAAAACCATCAAACCCAACTTTCCCTGTTTCCCCTTCTCCACTGTCTTTTTTCTAGATTGATTGTTCACTCAGTTTTAATCAATCTTAATGCTATTTTATCTAAATAAGGGATGGACCAATACCTACTCTTTTGTTCTTGATATTTCTACTAGCCATGCCTTTCTCTTCCAATTAATTTCCTTGCTCAGTGCGTAATTTTTTCTCCTGACCAGAACAGACATTTCATAATTTTAGTGACCTCTTCACATTAAGGAATTTGAAGTCTAGTTTAATCACTGATACATATCATCTCCAAGAAGAGACAACCAATGTTTCTTTTTGTCTTCCTATGGAAGTCTTTTTTCTTCTTTACAAGTTCATATCTGATCATTCCTCTCATCTATAGTTGCCTGCTTTTTTATTGATGGGGCTGAATGAGTTCACTGTTTTTCCCCACTTAAAAGAGTTTGAGGAATCAAAATTGTTCCAAATCAGTTGGGATCACTGGTATGGGAGAGCTTTGATGAGTCAGCTTGGTCAGTCTACCAACTAATATTCATTAAATGCCCTCTATCTTTCAGACACTGTGCTAAGTGCCATGGGACACAAAGAAAGGTACGACAGTTCCATTAGTCCAAAGGCTAATGAGGGAGACAACTTATGCATAAATAAGATATGTACAGGATACATCTGTGAATAATCTCAAACGAAGATACTAAGATTAAGGAGGAATGGAAAAGGATTTTCGTAGAAGGTGGGACCTGAAGCTGAAACTTGAAGGAAGCCAAGAAAGGTGGAGGTGGAGATAAGGAGGGAGATCATTCCAGGCATGGGAGAGAAACTGTGAGAATACTTAGTCAAGAGATAAGAGTA